CGGGTTTTAGAAGGCCCTTGAAGGCAGGCACCATGTCTTTTGTTCAGCGACTAGAGAAGCACCTAAGTGGGAAGGGGTAGATAAGAGAAGATGAAGGGAGGAGGAAGAAGAAATGAGAACACAGTAGGGGAGCATGGTGAGGGGGGGAAGTTCCGTTTTAAAGTTTTCTTAGTGATTCAGAAACTTTTGGCTGAAGACAGATCCTCCAAATAGCTAACGTATTTTCTTTCCAGAACAATCCCAAGACACTGAATCATTGCACACTTTTTCTCTTGTTTTGCCAACACTATGTCGCCCTTTCTTCTTGTTTCCTATCTGTGTGGCTATTGAATCAGATATCTGGGCCACACCGCCTTGTGGTCATTATTTTGCCTGAAAGACTCAGATCCCTTTAAATCTGTCAAATCTCCTTTGATATTAGTGGGGGGGGGGGGGGGGATTAAAACCCTTACCTTGTGGACTAGCTTTAGGGGGAATTTGATCAACATTCCTAGAAGAGTTATCTTCTTGATATAAATTTTTATTTAAGACTTATAAAAGCAGAATGCCAGCAACTCTATAAGTATGACCAAACTCTGGTTCATTTGTCATTCTTCCTTACCACACTCAGTAAGGGGTACTTCTGCCCAAAGAAATCCCAGCAGCTCTTCACGGATCCGCAGGGCTTCTTCCTCTGCCAACAGCTGCCTTCAGCAAGGGGGTGGAGCTAGAACTGACTCTAGATAAGGCTTGTCACACGTCTTTCCAAAACAGCAGTCCAGCACCTCACTTCCTGGGACAGTGGGAAGAGTTCAGTTCCCGCCTAACAGTTCCTGGAGGAAGAACGGTGAATTGCACTACGGAAAAAGTCAAGAAACATATTTCACTCGTATGTGGGATATAAAACAGAAAGAAACCAATGAACACACACAAAACAAAACATACAAACTCCTAGACACAGACGGCAGTACGGCAGTCACAGGAGGAAAAGGAGGGTAGAAAAAGGTAGGAGTCAAATATACAGTGACAAAGTATTCGACTTTGGGTGGCGAACACACAATGCAGTATTCCGATGATGGATTACAGAACTGTGCACTTGAAACCTGTATACTTTTATTAACCGATGTCACTCCAATAATTTAATAATTTTTTTAAAAATCTAGCTCAACAAAGAAGGCTCTTTGTTACACCAGAGAGATACCTGGGCCAACACAACTGCTTCATTTCCCTAGACCACCTCACTGAACTTCCTTTGTTACCCCTCCACAGACTTTCTCTGCCTCGACTTCTCCCCGTAATGAGATCCCTTCATCAAGGGAAGAAGTCATATGATAGGGCCAAAAATAAAAAAAAAATGCACAGCTATACTACCTGACTCGGTGTCATCAGCGCTGTAATCCTTCCCCGAAAGGAAGCCGATGCTGGGTTCCTATCTGCTGCCTTTGAGAGAGCGAGCGATGCCAAGTCACTAACACCCACACCACTTTGCTTCCCATCTCCCTACTGCTGCTCTACTTGCAACTTTATTTTGAAATAGCTGACTTCACACCTTTTACCATCTAGTAACCCTTCAACACAAGGACCTAATATGAAATCCTTAAAATGAGCTGAGTAGACATCAAATACTCAAAAGTCCAAATTACCTAGACTGGTAGAGGTTAATGTTCCGCATTAAATACAAACAGAAAGTATCAATTTTGTACTCTGATGATGCCTGCCAAAGAACTGAGTCAAATAAACACATAAAATGTGATAGATGAGGGCAATAGGGTAGGAATACCATCACAGTTATTGAGAAAGGTCTAAGAAGTGAGCAAATGTAGGTGTGTCCTAACCTCCTTTCGCCTCTGCATACTTCTGTCTGGACCTTCAACTCTCCTTTTCCAGTATAAGCTGACTGAGAAACAACCTTTTGATATTTCATTCTATTTATAATTTTTAGAGCCACATAATCATTAAGGGCTGTGCTCCTGAACAGGTCTATGGCAGCAACCCAAGTATCTAGGATTACTAGAAAAATAATTATAAGAAAACAGTTAAGTACCAATCTGAGATTTTTCACTAACCTTGTCTTTCTACAATGTTGGTTTATCAAATTAGTCCACTCCAAAAAACAGAAAGTCCATTATGTTTGTGGCACTATGAACTCACCCTTTTCATCCTATAGTTAAGGAACAGGTCTGGAATGTTGTTATTTGATCAACGTTAAAGTCTAGTTAGTCACAGAGGTAGGATCAGGACACCACTCTAAGACTTCCCGATATATTTCACACTCCTCAAAGAGTGAGCCTGAAATATCAGGCTTCATTACCCAGAGCATTTAGATATACCAGAGGTTAAATCAACCACTTCTAAGAAGAAAAATGATACACCTTCTGCCTTGGCCTTTGCTATAAAGTAATACCTAAGTAAGTCCAATAAAGATGCTGTAAGTGGCCCCTTGAGAGGCAAAGAGCCTTTCAACGCTATAGTCAGATTTCTTTCTGTTTGGATTCATAAATGGTGGGCAAGTGATTTCAACCAGGGCATACTATGTGTGGGGTCCTATTGTAGTGTTACTGGTCATAGCATGAGTATTAGTGACAAGTTTTATATTCTTCAGCCCAGCTGGTGTGGCTCAGTGGACTGAGCATTGCCCTAAGTACCAAGAGGCCACTGGTTCAATTCCTGGTCAGGGCACATGCCCAGGGTGCAGGCTCAACCCCCAGTAGGGGGCATACAGAGGCAGTCAATTGATGTTCTCTCTCATCAATGTTTCTATCTCTCTCTCCTTCTCCATTCCTCTCTCTCTAAAATCAATAAAGAAAAAATAAAAAGGTAAGTGGCAATACACTATATTATTGACAACCTGCTAGAAAAAGCTCTCTTTTTTAAAAAAAATGTTTTTGATAGATTTTTTTAGAGCAAAAGGAAGGGAGAGGCAGAGATAGAAACATCGATGAGAGAGAGGAGCACCAACATCGATCGGCTGCCTCCTGCACGCCCTTGAAGGATCAAGGCCGCAACCCCAGCATATACCCTAACCGGGAACCGAACCCGTAACCTCTTGGTGCACAGGCTGATGCTCAACCACTGAGCCACACCAGCCTGGTGAAAAAGCTCTCCTATAAAAAGCATAGTAAAATAGTAGTAAATGACATTGGTAATTTTACATAAAAATATAAAATCAAATGAGAGCTTGGACTCAAACAGATGCTTGTACATCAATGTTCATAATGATATCATTCACAATAGCCAAAGGGTGAAAACACCTTAAGTGTCCGCTGCCAGGTAAGCGGCTAAACAAATGTGGTCTATACATACAATGGAGTATTATTCAGCCTCAAAAAGGAATGAAATTTCGATATGCACTACATCGTGGATGAACCTTGAAAACATTATGCTACGGAAAAGCAGCCAGTCTCAAAAAAATATTGTAAGCTTCTCCTCATAGGAGAGACCTAGAAGAGTCAAATTCCTAGAGACGGAAAGCAGAGTGGTGGTTTCCAGGGGCTGGAAGAGGGGAAATGGGAAATGACCGTTGAATGGGTGCGAGGTTTCAGTTTGGGATGATTACAACGTTCTGAGATGCACAGTGGTGACGGCTGAATAACAATATGAACATAACGCCACTGAATTAATTGTATACTTAAAAGTGGCCAAAATGGTAAATTTTATGTTATGTATATCGTACCACAATACAAAAGATCAAATGCGAAATACTAAGTGGCAAGTTCTTTTATGATTTTGACCCATATGACATATGCTCAAAAAAAAAAAAAAAAAAGACTAAAAACAACAAAAAAGCAGTATCAGCCAGAGCAGCAGAAATATTAATATTTCTAATATACACCATCAAATAAAAACAGACTTAGGTTCATCAACCCAACGCCATTTATCCTGTGTGTTTATGACTAAAATAATCAATGCCCACCATGATTATGAATAATGCATTTACATTAAGCGTAAGTCCCAACCAAACGCAGAGAAAAGGAGAAATTGAAGCAGTGGGACGGTACCAACACACTGACACAGCGACCATCTGTTGACATTACCGTCCTCTGAATCTAAGGGACCGAGTCACGTGGCAGGGCTGGGAGCTTCCCCTTCGTTGTGAAGTCCTACTTTCATGTCATAGGGCACTTCTGGAAGGAAGCTCTGTACTGGCCAGCTCTACGGCCTTGCAGATTTCCTACCAGTCCGACCAGGAAGTCATTCCTGTGGCTCACCTGCATGAGTTCCTGTTATGAGGCCAGGGGGCTGGTGAGTTGAAATCCAGTTCCAGGGAGTGATGTCATCTTGACTGAGCTATGATCCTGGTGACCTGCTCCCCATCCTGGTGTTGTTGCAGCCCTTCAGCTGGGGTTCGGGTTATAAGGGGACCGAAAAGGAAAAAGGGGGAGTAGGAGAAGAGAAAAAGGAAAAACGCTTGCACATTTCCTTTGTTTCACTAAAGCATTTTCTGCTTCCACTTAATTTGATGGGAGGACCTGGCCGATGGCAGATGGCAGATGCTCTTGGACAGGGGTGGGCTCTCACATGTATCTTAAAAATACAAAGGATTAAAACAGACAGAAAGCCTCCCTTATTTCTGGTAGCTCCTAACTTGGAAATAGTAACTTATTCTCTTTTCTTTGGATAAAGGTTTGTTTTTTTTTTAAAGACATACATTAACACTTTAAAAACATCTGTAAATTGTTGTAAACAATGCATAACCACAGATCTATCTTAGCAACGACATAAAAAAACAATACAAATGTTTGGAGATGTGTAAATACTCACATTCTTTCTACACAATGTCAAGTAGATGAGAAGGTCAAATCTGGAAATCCTGTCACTGTAACAAAACAGGACTGCCCTTCAATTCCACTTAGATGAGATCCTTTGGTGCTTAGTGTACCAAGCCAGAAACGAAAACGAAGTCAAGCATAAGATGTAGAAATTGCTAACATTCCAATATAAAAGAAGACTTTCTTAAAAAAAAAATCTTAGGCAATTAAATAAAGAAGAGATTTAAATTTTTACGTTTATTTTACGTCATGATTTATTAGTCCTTATTAAGTTGATACAATTTGGGGACATAAATACTCCCTCTTCCCTTTTGGTTGCACATGTATTAGTAGAGTAGAAGAACAGAATATGAGAGGCTAGGCCAGGGGTGGAGGAAATAGAGTGAGTGTTTATATGAACCCTTCCATAAGCAGTACCAACCAACCAAGAACAAAGTTGACACCATGAAGTGTTTTCTTCTCGTGTGGACTTCTGAAAGTATGAAACAATTTGGGACCACATCCAACATATAGTAATTATATAGCATCGTGGTACATGTTTCCTATCAGACATGATGAGTATACTCTTTTTTTCCTCACTTTTTAATCTCCACAGATGACATTATTCATGAAGCACTTTTTATATATCATTCGACAATATGAATCTGATCACATAGACCAATCCTGGTTAGCGGAACACACGGTTAGCTGCCATGTACAGGTGATCCTCTCAAGTAACACTTGATTGTACACGTGGAGTCTCACACCAGAGCAAGTTCTTGATGGGCACTCCTTTCGGGGGGCTCACAACGCATCTGCGACACTAAACGCAGACCTTGGTTAAAGGTCTGCTCATTTGTCCGCACGGTGACTGTAAAGGAACTGTTCTTGTTCAGCCTTGTGCCCCGTTTCCCCTGAAGGTCATGGTCCCAATGCTCGGGAGCCCGCAAGTGACTGCGAGGAGAGCTGCCTCCCGTGGAGACGCCTGTCCCAGGGAAGGTCAGGATGTGTGCAGACAACCTGCACTACGTTCACCTCATCAGTTCTGCCCAATCCACGGGGGTGAAAAATGGATGAGATTTGATATCTTCTACACCAGCAACTCCAGCACCAAGACGCTCCACAGGGTTGAACTGCAAGAGCTAAAAAAGAGGAAAACAAAAAATATGAAAGAACTTGTAAATTGGGCCACAGCAACAAATGGATGTAACAGACAACTGACTGTATTTTCCTGAAAGGGAGCTATGTCTAACATCACTCTAGCTGTGGGGTCGTGGGGATATCTGAGTTTACGGCTTTTCAGGTGATCCGAAACATGATCTTGAGTAGCTCATGTTGTTTCTCTCATCCTCATATAGTTATACTTAGGACTTTCCTATTCCAAAGGTACAGTGTGACATTAATTTGATATTGCACCAAATTCCAAGAGGTCCACTTACTCCTTTCATGATTAGAAAGTTTGGGAGGCTGAGTAAGTCTTCAACCCCTAGTAGATTATATGTGCACTGGGACTACACGTGACCTAACATCTGAATTAGCCAGTTTATATTCCAAAATTGTTTTCTTTGGAATGGCTGACTCACATGGAATAATTTGATCCCGTGAGTAAAATGTGTGTTGACTTCTTCACTATTAGAATTTATGTATAAAGTAAGTTACTAATATCATATGCAACAGAATTGTTGAGTGTGGGAAAATAGCAGTCATATACGGTTACTGTAGACCACAGGCATGCTGGAAGACTGTGTCTTGAGACATTCACGCATCTTCAAATTTTTGTTTCAACGGCTTTACTAAGAAATAATATAGGTAGCATAAAATTCACCTATTGTAAGTGTACAATTCAGTGATTCTTCTGAAGTTAGAGTTGCACAACCATTGTCACTACCCGGTTTTAGAACACTCTGATCAGCCTGGGAAGCTCTGCATGCTGTTTGCAGTTCATCCTCACTTCACCCCAGCCCTGGGCAACCACTGATCTGCTCTCCGTCTCTGTAAACTTGTCCTTTCTGGATATCTCATGTACATAGAATAATAAAACACGTTGTCTTTTGCAGCTGCTTTCTTTCACTTCGCACGGTGTTTTTGAGATTAATCCCCGTTGTAGCAGGTACCAACAATCCATTCCTTTTTATTTCCGACAGCACTCTACTGTTGGATAGAACACGTTCTGTCAGTCTAGTCCTCACTTAATGGACACGTGCACTTCCCAGGCTGGGGCTAATGAATACAGTTGCTATTTAGAGTTATGTGTCTCCTTGTGGACTTTCATTTCTCTTATGGACATTCCTAGGCATGGCATTACTGAGTCATGTGGTAAGTTCATGCTTAGCTTTTTAAGAAACTGCCAAACTTTTCTAAAGTAACTATACCATTTTATATTCCACCAGTCTCTTGACAAGCTTACCAATACTTCCTATCGTCTATCTTTTTTTATTATAGTCCTTCCAGTAGGTATTAGTGGTATTTCATTATGGTTTTAATTTGTATCCCCTGATGACTAGTGATGGTGAGCATCTTTTCATGACCTTATAAGCATTTCATATAGCTTCACTGGTACACTCTTTGCCCATTTTTATACTGAGTTGTCTGCCTGTTGAATTTTAGTTCCTTATACATTCTGAATACAAGTCCATCATCAGTTACGTGACTTGCAAATATTTTCTCCCAACCTGTGGCTTGTCTTTTCATTTTCTTTCTAATGTCTTCAAGTATAAAAGTTCTTCATTTTAATGAAACCCACATTATCAGGTGTTTTTTTTTTCTTTTTGGTATCATATCTAATAACTCTTTTCCTAATCCAAGGTCATGAAGATTTTCTCCTACAGTTTTTATGTTTTAGCTCTATGATCTATCATGAGTTCATTTTTACACATGATGCGAAGGGTCTTAGTTCATTTTGATTTTACGTGTTTATATTTGACTTTCCCAGCACCATCTGTTGAAAAGACTTTTTCAGCATCAAATCATCTTGATATCTTTATTGAAAATCAATTGAGCCCTGGCCAGTTTGGCTCAGCGGTTAGAGCATCGGCCCGTGGACCAGAGAGTCCCAGGTTCAGTTCCCGCTAAGGGCATGTACCTCGGTTGCAGTTTGTGCCCAGCCCTGGTTGAGGTTGTGTGGGTGGCAACCACTCGATGTGTCTCTTTCACGTTGTTTCTCTCTCTCTCCTCCTCCCCCCTCCCTCCCGCTCTATGTGAAGATAAATGCAAAAATGTTCTCGGGTGAGGATAAAAAAAGAAAATCAATTGACAATCATGTATAGGTTTAATTCTGGACTCTCAATTTCATTCTATTGGTCTATATGCCTATCCTTGCTCTAATAACACAGTAAATAAGCAATTACTGTGGCTTTATACTGAGTGGAAATCAGGGAGTGTAAGTTCTCCAACTCTGTTCTCTTTAAGATTATTTTGGATAGTGTAGGTCCCTTGCCTTTTGGAGTCAGCTAAAAGTTTCCCAATTTTGCTGATCTTTTCAACAAACCAACTTGTAAGTACCTTGATTTTTCTCTTTTTGATTTCATTAATTTCTGCTTCCTTTCTTCTGCTTGCTTTCAATTTACTTTACTTTTTATAGTTTCTTTCTCTAGCTTTTTAAGGTGCAAGGTGAGATTTTTATTTGAGACCTTCTTCCTCAAACACTAATTTAGCTGCATCCTATAAATTTTGATATACTGTGCATTTGTATTTGCTTTTAGTTCATTAACAACATTTTTAGCTTCTCTTGGGATTTTTGTCTTTGACTCACAGGTTGCTTAATTTCCAAATAATTTGGATTCACCAAATCTCATTCTATTGATGTTTTCTAATTAAATGGTATGGTCAGAGTATGTTGCATAATTTCAATCCTTTTAAATACTGACACTTATTTTATGGCATATTATAAAATCCATCTTGGAGAATGTTCTGTGCACATGTGATAAGAATGTATTCTAAAATCACTGGATGGAGTGATCTACAGATGTCAGAGTTGTTTGATAATGTTGTTCGAGTCTTCTCTACACCCTTGCTCATTTTCTGTTGATTATCAAGAATAAGGTCTTGAAGCTTCCATTTATTAGTACTGGATCGCCTATTTTTCCCTTCAATTCAGTCAGATTCTGCTTCATATGTTTTGAGGATGTTGTTAGAGCAATATATCTACAAGTGTTATATCTTTCTATGTATTGACTCTTTTATCATTAGAAACATCTGTCTTAGTCTCTAATAAATCTCTTATCTTGACATCTATTTTTCTGGTGCATGATATAGCCACTCCCACTCTCTTATGGTTACTGTGCATGATTTTCTTTTCCCATCCTTTTTTTCCCCAACCTATTTGTGTCTTTGAACTTAAGGTGTGTGTCTCATGCACAGATGTTTGGATCTTACTTACCACTATAACTACATTCCTTCTGCCTTTTTTGGTCTATTATTGTTATATATATTATACACTACATCTATATATGTTATAATTCCAACAGCACAATGTTATAATTAGTGCTTCATACAATCTTAAATGTCTTTTTAAATAAGTTCAGAAAAGACATTTAAAAATATATATTTAGCCCTGGCAAGTCTGGCTCAGCGATTAGAGCATCGGCCTGTGGTCCTGAGAGACCTGGGTTCGGTTCCCGCTAAGGGCACGTACCTCGGTTGCAGTTTGTCCCCGGCCCTGGTTGGTCGTGCGGGTGGCAGCCACTCAATGTGTCCCTTTCACGTCAATGTTTCTCTCTCTGTTCCTCTCTCTCCCTCCCACTATATCTGAACAAAAAATGGAAAAATGTCCTCGGGTAAGGATAAAAAAATATATATATATATATCTTTAGTCTTTTGCACTAACTCTGTTTTTTATTTTATGTTTGTGTGTGTGGCACAGTTTTCATTTTATATTTTATTTTTTTAACCTTTATTGTTGAAAGTATTACAGATTCCCCCCCCCCCTTTTTTTTCTCCCATTGATTAACTCTTATTTACCACTCTAGGGCTCTTCATTTCCTCCTACAGATTCCAGTTACTCTATCGTGTCATGTCCTGTCAGCCTAAAGGACTTCCTGTATTATTTCTTGTAAGACAGGTCTGCCAGCAATAAATTTCCTCAGTCTTTACCTCATCTTTGTTTCAGAAGGATTGACAGTTACTTACAATCAGCACTTTGAATATGTCATTTCACTGTCTTCCGTCTTCTCTTTTTTCTTTTTTTATTGAGGTATAATTGACATACGACATATTAGTTTCAGGTATACCACATAATGATCTGATATTGGTATATATTATAAAATGGTCTCTTTGTTATTTTCCTATTTAGGGCCCATTGAATTTCTTTAATGCATATCAATACTTTTCATCATATTTAGCATTTTCAGCTATTATTTCTTCAAATATTTTTGCTGCCTTTTCCCCTCTTTCCTTTCCTTCTGAAACTCCCATTATGTGTATATTGATATATTTTATATTGTCCTATAGGTCTCTGTAGCCCTGATCATTTTTCTTCTTCTTCTTCCTCCTCTTCCTCTTCTTCTTTTTCTTTTTTTGGTCTGTTTTTCAGATTGGATAATATCTATTGTTCTATTTCAAATTCACTGAGTTTTCTTTCCTCTATCTCAAAGTTGCTGTTAAAATGAATTTGTCTCCCTTAGTGACTTCATTTCAATGACCGTATTTTGAACTAAAGAAATTCTATTTGGTTCTTTCGTTAAAAATATAATTTCTATAGCCTTATTGAGAATCTCTATTTGTTAATTCATTGTTGTCATACTTTTCTTTAATTCTTTAAACACAGTTTCCTTTAGTTCTTTAAACATATTTATAATAACCACTTTGAAGTCTTTGTTAAATCCAAAATCTGGGAACACCTTAGAGACCACTCCAATTAGCTGCTTTCCCCCCTGCATATACATGACATTTTATTTCTGTGTATCTTATACTATTTTGCTGAAAAAAGGACATTTTAGAGACTATATTTTAGCAACTCTGGAGTCTGATTTTTCTTCCCATGAAGACTGTGAGCACTGCTGCTGGATGGTTTGGTAATTCATTTCAGCGACATCTGTAAATCTGTTTCCCCCACCCGACTGTAACAAACAGCTGTTGATATCTCTGCTTATTCTTTTCCTGTTTTTGTGATTTAAGTTTGCCTTCCTGGGGTTCACCCCTATGT